CTACACAAACGTTCGTATAAATTTGAATCCAGCAACCAATTATTGGTTTCTCGCACTATCTACATGACATTAAACGTCCAAATAAACCATGCAAGTCCAAAGAAGAAAATTATGTTACTGCTCCATTCACTCCTTTTGCTTGCAGAAGGGACTGTGATAATCGTAGTCGTAGTAGAAGTTGTACCAGAAGTATTGCTTGGGGTTGTGTTTGGAGGTGAAAGTTGAATGTCGACACTAACATAGACAGAATTTATTTCATTGGCATTGCTCACAAGAAGACACCAAGTATCCAGTGGAGGTGCGGTATCAGGGTTAGTTTGATCGCATTCCTGCACGCAGTCGGAACTTACCATTCAGAAATTTAAATAATATAGTGGGTTAGTCGATGTATTTATGAATAGAGCCATAAACTTGTGCGCATCAGGATATTCTCAATAAATGCCATGAGTAAACTAATATACAGATGCCCTCATGTACAAATTTCCCAAATTGCAAATAACTTTCTTACCATGACATGTATGGTAGAGTAACCGTATAAGTGGATTGACTTGTAAAAGTATGGAGATCCGCCGTAGATAAAACTTCCGAAAGTACTCCTCCGCTTAGGCAAGGAGGATTATCAGGTGTTCCAACTAAGTTTGAATAAGCACCGAAATTTGCCGTTACAGGAAGCGTTTGATTTGATACCGTAACGATAAAAGCTATAATTTTATCAAAGAAAATTTTGCCGAGTAATGAATTAAATGGTTTCAAGATGTATAATACCCTTGGACTATATACTTGCCAAAATAGCTAGTTGGGTGGTCAGCGCACATCCACCTTTTTTAAATTGTTATAATAAATAATTACGTTAAATGTGTGATTTCAATCTTCGGCTGCATATGTCGTGTATGACACGTACTAATGCTAAGAAGAAATACAACGGATTTATGCTTCATGTCATATCTCTATTATTGTCTTACCATGAACTATTAAAGTCTAGGAAAAGGTTGCCCGATAAGAAATGAGCGTTTACTGTAATTGTCTGTATAATGATATTAAACAGCTGAACTGAGACAGAAAATTCCAACCCTTTCATCACTCTTAATTTACTTACCAAAAAAAGCAATACGAAGAAAATACGTTTAATTAGAATTTGCATATTGTCGGGTCGCTGTGCATGTTGTATTTGAGTATTTATCAGTTAGTGATAAAAAAATCCGGGTTGTTTTTACTCTTCCTATTCTATATTTTACTCTAGGCACTTAACGTAAATAACAAACAGTTTGTTCATACAACAAATTACGGACAATTAAGTTCAAGCTATCTTTAATACTGCAGTAAAAAGATAAGTCGTAAGATTACATTGCGCAAACTAATATTTGTTACACTCAAAACTATCTTCCTGAAGTCAGTATAGTTTTCTACCCAGCCCAAATAAATTGCAAAACTTTCTTGTATATTAGTGTATTAATTAAGACTTCAAATTTGAAGAAAGACTTACGGTTATGTTGCTATAACTGTTGTCTGTTCGCGGTGTTGCATAATAATGTTTGTTTTTTGAACCAAACAATGGCCAGATTAGACAAAGTCGAGTGTTGCAAACAGATAAATGCCAGGAATCTGAAATGTCTAGAAACCAACTTATTTTACTCACGTATTGGATAGAAATGTTTTCTAGCTGCTGCTAAAGTTATTTGCATAATCTACAACCACCTTTTTTTTTTATAAAAAAACTGGGCTGTGACTGCTTCAACAATTACATAATAACTGCACAGGTAGTACGTGCAGCGGAATGATTCTAATTATAGATACACAATGATCACAGCCATTGAGATCTCCCTTGCATACAATATGGTTTCGATTATCGATAGTTAAATGTGTGGTTAAAGGTTTTTATTTTTACATAACCGGAATGCTGCATGATCTAATCTACATCAATGCTGTTGTATATTGTAATTTTGAAGGTTGCCGCTATCATAATTTTGGAATCTTGATATGATATGATATACACATAGGATATGTATTTTTATAAGAAACTGTTTATTAATTCCAAAATTGCTGCCGGTTCTCTACACGTTATTTACATACACGGTTATAATGTTTCGAAGCGGATAGAAAGGAAGACCTCTGATAATGAAAGTATTGTGCAAAATTTTGAGAAAGTTGTCCGATATAAAGCTTTGGCAAATAATCGCTCTATAGCATTCTACGAAATAAAATGGTGCTTCAGACGTATATGCTGTGTCTGAGTTCGGGATCTGGACCGAGACAACTGAGTCCTAGACTAAGTGTCTGGGTTCGGAACTGAGACAACTGAGTTCTGGACTGAGTGACTGAGTCTGAACTGAGACAGGTCCCGAACTTACCGGAGATGTTTGTATCACTGAGCGGAAATCACGTCATGCTTTGAGTTTACAAATAATATTACGTTATTTACAGTAATCATTTTGGAGATTATGCTAACTTACAACTTGCTTTTATTTTTTCAATACTTAATTTAAACTTGCATTTTCAATTATGACCAGGCTATGACAATTAAATTTTTTGCTAATGCAAGACAATTGCAGTGTATAGCTATTTTTTTCTCAATACAACGCTTTTGTATATCGACTTTTGTGTGTAATATCAGTAATTGGTAGCAATTCGTTGATCAATTACTAAATAAAGTACATACTATTACAATTAATCCAAGACTTAGACTATAGAAGATTGTACCCTTCGCTGGAAGACTCCATTGTATTGTATATAAATAACATGTTAATCACTTGTCATATTATTTAATTTGTTCCGACAAACATTGAAAGGGACAACAACTAGCCATACGTAGTAATAGTATTTTATTCATCAAAAACTATTAAGTCCAATCCTATTCTGAGCAATTTGTAAATAACATTATTAATAAAAAGTTTCTAATAATAGATCCCAATTCACAACGTTACATTGATTTATTAGTGCTAAGCAATATCAAAGCTTAAATTCAACAATAAATTATTCATGTTTTGCGTTATCTGATAACATTAAACTTCCAAATAAACCATATAAAAAATTCATGCTACTGTTTCACTCACTTCTTTTATTTGCAGAAAGACATTGACCATAACCGTAGTCATAGCGCTGGCACTAGAAATACTGTTTGAGGCTGCACTTGATCGTAACCGGAGTCGACGTAGCCGTACCTAGGGCTTAAAGCCCAATTTTAATGCCTAGCATAGATATTTATTGGATTGTCATTGCTTACAAGAAGATGTCAAGTACTAAACGAAGGTGCGGTAGTGGTTAGTTTGATCGCAGACTTGTACCAGTGTCGTCATTTTTTATTTTTTTTTTTCATTTTGAAAAAAATAACGTGTATTTGAACGATATAATTGGTTAGTCATGTATTGTGCAGTGCGTAATTCGAACAACTACCAATAAAATTTTCTCGCTTCCCTTACTGACCACCGTGTGTTGCCTGTATTCGTATAAAGAAAAGTATTAAGGTCCGCCGACGATAAACTTCCGAAATCACACCGTTTGTGCAAGGCATATTATTTGGTTTCACAGCTCGAAGTGCAAAAACGCCAAAATTTGATGTCGTAAGAAGTGCTTGGTTTGAAGTCGTAACGATAAAACTATATTTTAGTAACAAAAAAAATTTTGTTGAGTATGAATGAAACGGTTTCAAAAAATATAAAACTTAAGGAAATTTACTTTAACTATACTTACCAAAATAACTAATTGTAAAGTACACATCCACCTTTTTAAAATTGCGATAAATATAATTATGTTTAATGCGTGATGCCGAAAATGTGTCAACATTGCGTATGCAACAAACGCACGCTTTTGTTATGTCTCATCATGAATGCATAGTGTCTATGAAAACGTTGCCCGATATGGCTTGAGCGCTTACTATAACTATCTAAATAAACAATGGTATTAACTGCTAGCAAAGACAGGAAATCCACCCTTTTGTCGTCCTTAATCTACGTACCAAAAGAAACAATACATATAAAAGACTTTGCATGTTGTCCGATCGCGGCATAAATTTCATTTGAGTGTATTCATCAATCAACAATACCCATTTTTATTCTAAACTGCTTATACATTTCCTATTTATGTTGACTTTGCTTGCATTCTTAGGATTGTACAACAAATTGCGAACAGCCTCCATGAGTCAGGTAATATGTTTGTGATTTATCTTAAAACTTACTTTTTCACTGCCGTTTGAAAGTTTTTGATGTTGCGATCGGATGATATTCCACTGATGTAATATTTGACACTATCGTGTAAAATGTCCAAGTATTATACGTATACCTTCCTGAGATCAATATAGTTTCTGACCCAGCCAAAAGGTGCGGAAAAAAACTGACGTAAATTGCAGAACACATTTAATTAATTAAGGGGGTTTGTATTAGATCAACTATTGTTGAGAAAGATTGAGTCATATTTAGCTATAATTATTGTCCGTTCGTTCGTAATATACTTGATCTCGAATTGAACAAGGGCAGAGCAGACAAGTGTTTCCGTAGAATAAATCCGAATGTAATATTTAATGCAAAATAAAATCCAAGTGTCCAAATTGCAAACGATGACATTTCCTAGGTTTCATGGAAGATCTGCATACAATGTTTATGCGGATTAGGGAAGGTTTTTAACGCCACCGCCATTACTTTTTTGCTGTCTCTTATCCGTGTCATGTGGATCATCAACGGGTCTTATTTGGTTAGCGTAATCCATAAAACATGTGGCCGTTTGATAAATGCTCAGTAATTGGCAACAAGTGGTTGCATGTGTGAAGTCAATTCTGTATCAACCAAACGACCAAAAGGTTGTATTCTTTATCAGAAAAAGCATTATTTTATTGACATTATTTGCAACTAATTCCGACAGACATTGAAAGGGAGACGATAGTTATTGTATCATAAAAAGCTTTATGATAGATTGTTAATCCGTTGCATTTGCAATACTACATTATTACTAAATTACATAAAGTGTTTGTATTACAGTTGAGTTCAATAACTAATCATTAGTTTTCCGCGCTATCCACATGACATTAGACTTCTAAATAAACCATACAATACGAGCCCAAAGAAAAAAATCGTGCTACTGTTCCACTCACTCCATTTACTTGCAGAAGAAGTTGGAACGTTGACCACAACCGTAGTCATAGGACTAGGAGAGGTTGTACTGCTTGAAGTTGTCGATGTGGTCGAAGTTGTTGATGTGGTTGGAGCCGAAAGCCGAAAGTTGATGCTAGCATAGACGCCGCTCGATAAATTGTCATTGCTCACAAGTAGACACCAAGTGCCTAGCGGAGGTGGGACGACATTGGTTTGATCGCAGACTTGTACGCAGTAGTTGGAACTTACCATTTAAAGAAAATAACGTGCGAATGGTACAATTGGTTAGTCAGTAGTGTGTAACCGTAATTAATATGGATATCGGAATATTACTCCGAGAGTATTGTTATCAAAGTATAAACCAAATTTTTACTTCTCTCACTAACCATGACATAGATGGTATAGTAACCGTATAGTTGACTGTATTTGGGTCAAGGTAATGTTGAAGATCCGCCGAAGATAAAACTTGCGAAAGCACTCCGGTTGTGCAAGCTGCTCCACTTTTTGGTATGCCAGCTCCGTTTATGTAAGAACCAAAGTTTGCTGTCACAGGAAGTGCTTGGGTTGATGTGTTTACGATAAAAGCTATATTTTAGTTAGCAAAAACAAATTTGACGAGTAATGCGTTGAATGGTTTAAAAAAAATAATCGGACTATACTTACTAAAGTAACTAGTTTGTGGAGCACACATCCACCTTTTGATAGTAAGTAAATACGTTAAAAATGTGTGATTACAATCTTCGAGGCCTGAATGACATCGTGTGTGACGTACACTCAACCTACAAGAAGAGGTTTACGCTTTTGGTTCATGTCTCATCCTTATCTTACCATGAACGTACAGCATCTAAGTAAATATTGCCCGATATTGATTGGGCGTTTACTATAATCATCTAAATGTAATAACGTTATTAACAATTGAGCAAGACAGGAAATCCAACTCGTTTGTCGTTTTCAACCTACTTACCAAAGGAAGCAATACGAATAAAATACGTTCAATTATATTTTGCATGCTGTCGAGTTGTTGCGTGGATTTTATTTGAGTGTATGAGAACAGATTTATCAATAAACAAAAATCCGTCTGCTTTGAACAGCTCATACGTCCCCCTATTTTATATGCCTTTGTTGCAGCTTTAGTACAACAAATTGCGAATAACTCAGGTGATACGTTTATGACATCAGTTGTATTTGCAAAATCACCCGATTACAACATCAATGGCTTCTGTACGCAGTAAAAAAAAAAAAAGTAAAAATACTTGGTACACTCTACACAACAGTTTTGAGTACCAAATATTAATTTGAGTAACGGGGTTTATTTTACATTCAAATATTGCAAGAAAGACTTAGAGTCATATGTTATTGATGGTTTGTTCGCTTAGTTGCATAAAATGCTTGATCTCGAGTCAACAATGCGTTGTCCGTAGAAGTAAATTAACAATATAAAATTTAATATCAATATCAAATTGTCCGAGCCATAAATGGAAATAGATCATACCGAGAACTCCGGAATATTACACACAAAATGAATTAATAATAATAATGTAATGATACCGACACTAAACTCCTTACCTATTCTGTAACTTAATATAAACTAACTAACAAACTAGAAACGAACTTTTTTACTCACGTATTAGAATGCTCTCTAGCTTCTAAAACTATTTACATAATTCAAATTCTACTAACAACATTTCCTTTGAAAAAGAACTTCCATATACACGGCGCACCATAGCTGTACAACTGTAGGTGTAGTACATGCGAATTAAAATGTTGAAATCTCCCCTGCATGCAATGTTTTGAAGAACATCCAAGTTTGAAGTTTATGGTCGATAATTCGGACACTTTTTCCGTCACTTTTATACACTAGTCCATTTGTGTTAGCTATGAAGAATGGCAGAATATGCTGTGCAACCATAAAAGTGTTGGAAAATATAATTATAACGCTTACGACACTTTTGCTGCGGTCACTTATTTCAAGACATGTGACTCTTTTTAATAGCCATCATTTTGATTAGCATTATCCACAAGCATGTCTTATAAAATACTCATCAATTGACACCAGTCTACTAACAAAGCAGCCGAATGCGTACTATCAAATGTCAACCCCGCATCCTTCCCTAGAAGGCATTAGTTGTTATTCTATTCAACCTGTTCTGACAAACATTGAAAAGGGACATCGACAAAGACTATCAATAGTTATTCAAATCTTAGTATTTTGCAAATAATGTTGTAAAAAACAAACAACTTCTACCTATCACCATTGTAATTAATAATAGATCTCAATTTATATTTACAATGACGCATCGAAATTTCTTATCTATTCATTTACTTGTTACTGATTTATACACAAACAATCGTTTTTAACAATCACAACTTGCATTAATTTGTTATTTGTACTATTAAACTCCCAATAAACCATACGAGCCCAAAAAAAGAAATAATGCTGCTATTACCTGCAGAAGAGGAATCTGGAACTGTGACAACAACTGTAATCTACCACTAGAACTACTTTTTGTCGGGGTTGAAGTTGCTGATGTCGTTGGGGTCGGGGGTGAAGTGTCAATTTTGACGCTGGCATAGATGCTATTTACTTTATTTGGATTGCTCACAAGAAGACACCAACTGTCTAGTGGAATTTCAGGTTTAGTTTGACTGCAGGTTTGTACACAATCGGAGCTTATCATTTAGAATGCAAAATGTAGTATGATATGATGTTAGTTTAAAATGGCTTTATGCATATTAGAATATTTCTCAGTGGGTGCTATTATCGTAATGCCCAAATTTCAATAAAATATCGCATCTCTTACTGACCATGACGAATATGGTAGAGTAACCGTATAGTTAACTACACTTGAGTCAAGAAAATTTTGAAGATCCGCCGAAGATAAAACTTCCGTAAGCACTCCGCTTGTGCAAGGATTTTTTGGTATGCCAGCTCCGGCTATGTAAGAACCAAAGTTTGATGTCGTAAAAACTGTTTCGCTTGACGAGTTTACGACGAAATCTGTATTTTAGTAGCAAAGAAAGTTTTGTTGAGTAATGAATTAAAACTATTAATTATCTCTGGACTATACTTACTAAAGTATTTAGTTTGTAGAGTACACGCCCACCTTTTTGAAATTGTTATAATAAGTAATTACGTTAAAAATGTGTAATTACAATCTTTGAGGCTTGCGTGCGTTGACCTACAAAAAGAAATGCAACGGTTTACGCTTTAGGCCACGTCTCATTCTTGTCTTACCACGCATGTACAGCATCTAAGCGAATGTTGCCCCATATTAATTCAGCGTTTACTGCAATTATCTAATGTAATAACGATATTAACAGTTGAGCAAGACTGAAAATCTAATTCTTTCGTCGTTCTTAACCTACTCACCAAAGGAAGCAATACGAATAAAATACTTTTAACTATATTTTGCATATTGTTGCGTGAGTTTCATTTGAGTGCATGTTAGAAGCAAAAATCTTGCTTTGCTTTACATCCCCTTATTTTATATGCGGGGGACGTTGATTTTGTTGCACTTTTAGTGTTGCACTTTACACGATCTGTTGGTAGCACAAAAATTGCGAATAGCATGAGTCCATGACATCAGCAGATGCAAAATTACCCGATCACAACATCAACAGTTTCTATGCATTAGTAAAAAAAAGTGAGCCTTAAAATCTAATTAATGCACTGATTGTATACAGGATATAAAATACTTGGACACTATACACAATAGTTTTAGTGGCAAATATTAATTAAGTAAAAAGATTTATTTACATTCAAATATTGCAAGAAAGACTTGCAGCCATATATTAGTGTCGGTTGTTCGCATAATTGCAGCAAAGCTTAATCTCGAATTAACAATGGCAGCGAGCATTGCTCAAGTAAATAATAATATAAGATTCAATGTTATTATGAAGTTATCCAGATCTCCAAGTGCCAAGAAATTCAGAACGTTACAATCACAACACAATAGCTGTACAAATTGTAGCACATGCAACGACAGCTCGATAAGCATCTGAATCACCCCCTGCATGCAATGTTTTTTGATTATCAAAGATCATTATGATGCACGTTTTCTAACGCTATGGCACTTTTGTTGCTGTCCTATGCTTGATTTGATGTCGTGTTGTATCGAGAAAAGCTATAGCCATGGTCTATTTTTACTTCAGACTACATATCCACCTTTCTGAATTGTTATGATAAACGATCACGTTAAAGGTGTGATTTCAATCTTTTGGCCCTTGAACGTGTCAACATGTAACAGATTTTTGCTTTATGTCATGTTTTGTTCTTAGCTTACCATGAACTCGTAGGGCTTATGTAATTGTTGCCCAATAGTGTTTGAGCGTTTATGTTTACTGATACTAACCATTTCGTCGTCTACTTACTAAAATAAGCAATACTAATACGTATATAAAACTAGATTTTGCACATGATCGGGTCGTTGCGTGAGTTTCACGTGAGTGTGATTCATCAATCAGCAGTGAAAATAAAAACTGTTCATACATTCCCTATTTTATGCGGGAAACGTTAACTTTGTTGCAACTTTAGGATTGCACTTTATATAAGAACAACTTGCAGCTCCATATTCAGGTAACACGCAAAATATTAATATTTAAGCGATAGCTATTATATTTTGGAATAGCTATTTCGCAAGTAGCAATTTTTATTTAGACGTATAGGATTTGGTCGAAAGCTCTAACGGAATAATAGAATAACTCTTACGGTGTGGAATAAACTTACAGTAGGATCGGATCGAAAGCAACAACTAATAAACTTACGATTGGAAATTATTTTAATTAATGTCTTTTGTAATGAGAAAGGGAACTCGGGAAAGATAGGAGCGTCCACTCTGATCTCTAACGTTCACTCTAGCTTTCGGCATATGCTGGACTTATTCGAGTTACAGCAACGAGAGCTTAATCAGTTGTGCAAACGAAATCCTAGTAATTAACGATGTTTGATTTCCGTATTTAGGTATTGTGATACATGAAAGGTGTGCAAAAGCTTTTTCGTTGAATTTTCAGGGGGCATCTGAATATGGAGTGGCTAGCGAAAAACCTCCAGGATGAAAATATTCGATTTTATCCATTCGATAACTTTACTAATACGCAATGCATTGGCTACGGCGGTTACGGAATAGTTTTCAAAGCAAGAGTAAAGACATCTGGGATAGTCGTTGCATACAAATTTCTCGATTCAGAACATTACCAGGATGATGAGACAATGATGAAAGACTTTGTGAAAGAGGTTGGTATCTGAGAACCGAATAGCTACAAATGTTTTTTAATATACTCACACAAGCAAACAATACTATAAGCTTAAAATCCATCGTAAAGTTGATGACCATCCCAACATTATTCGATTCCTTGGAGTGAGCAGAGGTTTGTATATGTTAATACAACTTTGTGCAAGAAGTTTTAGCCATATGCTAATTGACTTTTTCTCTTACTTCAATGGTAGAACCATTGGATACATATGAACGGCATCTGATGGTTTTTGAGTATGCTGATGGTGGTTCATTGAGAGGTTACTTAAAAAAACATGGTGAATTAGATTGGCAAATAAGATGTCAATTTGGTATAGATATCATTGGTGGACTAGGATATCTTCACAGGTTGAACATCCTACATAAAGACTTGGTAAGTTAATATTAAGTGGTTTATGCATGTTAATTGATAGGAGGGTCTAATGTTAACATCATATTCAATATTCAAGTCTTCTGGCAATGTCTTGATTCATGCAGGCAAGGCCAAAATAACAGACTTTGGTTTATCTGATGTAATGATAAGCCAAAGAAGTTATTCACGTCATGATGGAAACTGTGCATATCTTGACCCTAGATGCTTTGATGGTAGACGTTCTAAACGAGACAAGAAATCAGATATATTTAGTTTTGGGGTGGTATTATGGGAAATTTCCAGCAGGAAACTTCCCTGTAATGGACTTTTAACATATAATGATATCCAACTCTATAGATTAAATGGTGGTCGTGATCCTCCAGTTGTAGGGACACCAACACAGTACATTGAATTATATACACAATGTTGGGACAATGATCCTGAGAAACGGCCTTCTTGTGAATATATTCATGATAAATTGAAGATGATTGAGCAGCAACAAATAGAGTTGACTAAATATTCACAAAAACATACACTTTCTGATGAGTTGTTAAATATTTATAACAACAAATTATTGCAAGGAATATCTGGAAACAAAATTGCTTATTCAATTAAGAGTTGGTTGAAGAACAATAATTATGCTTACAATGAAGCATTTACTAGAATCAAATCTCATGACAATTGTGGACAGTGTTGTTGGTTAATTGGATTTTTTTATAATTATGGAATAATGGTTACAAAAGATCTTGCTCAAACAATTCTCTGGTATCAATTGTCAGCAAGAAATGGTTATATTATGGCAAACTGCAGTCTTGCTTTTTGTTACATGACAGGAACTGGAGTAGACAAAGATGAACAAAAGGCTGTTGAATTATTTCAAAAAGCTGCTGAACAAGGGGATATTGGAGCACAATTTAATCTTGGTTACTGCTATATGTATGGGACTGGAGTAGGAAAAGATGAACAAAAGGCAGTTGAATGGTACCAGAAAGCAGCTGTACAAGAAAATGCTGATGCACAATATAATCTTGCTCTGTGTTATGACAGTGGAACTGGAATAGAAAAAGATAAACAAAAGACAGTTGAATGGTATCTGAAAGCAGCTGAACAAGAGCATGTTAGTGCACAATATTGTCTTGGTTGGTGCTATGAGAGTGGAGCTGGAATAGAAAAAAATGAACAAAAGGCTGTTGAATGGTATCTGAAAGCAGCTGAACAAGAACATGTTAGTGCACAATATCATCTTGGTTACTGTTATGAGAGTGGAATTGGAATAGAGATAAATAAACAAAAGGCTGTTGAATGGTATCAAAAAGCAGCTGAACAAGGGAATGTCAAGGCACAATGTAATCTTGGTTACTGTTATGAGAATGGAATTGGAATAGAGATAAATAAACAAAAGGCTGTTGAATTATATCAGAAAGCAGCTGAACAAGGGAATATCAGAGCACAGTGTAATCTTGGTTATTGCTATGAGAATGGGATGGGAATAGAAAAAAAAGAGCAAAAGGCAGTTGAACTATATCAAAAGGCTGCTGAACAAGGAGATATTAGAGCACAATGTAATCTTGGTTACTGTTATGAGAATGGGATTGGAGTAGAAAAAAAAGAACAAAAGGCTTTTGAATTGTATCAAAAAGCTGCTGAACAAGGGAATATCAGAGCACAATGTAATCTTGGTTACTGCTATGAGAATGGGATTGGAGTAGAAAGAAATGAACAAAAGGCAGTTGAATTATATCAAAAAGCTGCTGGACAAGGGCATATCAGAGCACAACGCAATCTTGGTTACTGTTATGAGAATGGGATTGGAGTAGAAAAGAATGAAAAGAAGGCTGTTGAATTATATCAAAAAGCTGTTAAACAAGGGAATATCAGAGCACAATGTAATCTTGGTTGGTGTTATGAGAATGGAATTGGAATAGAAAGAAATGAAGAAAAAGCTGTTGAATTATATCAAAAAGCAGCTGAACAAGGGAATATCAGAGCACAACGTAATCTTGGTTACTGTTATGAGAATGGGATTGGAGTAGAAAGAAATGAAAAAAAGGCCGTTGAATTATATAAAAAAGCCGCTCAACAAGGGGACATCAGAGCACAATGTAATCTTGGTTACTGTTATGAGAATGGCATTGGAATAGAAAGAAATAAACAAAAGGCTGCCGAATTATATCAAAAAGCAGCTAAACAAGGAAATACCAATGCTCAATTCAATCTTGGTTACTGTTATGAGAATGGGATTGGAGTAGAAAAGAATGAACAAAAGGCTGTTAGATTATATCAAAAAGCAGCTGAACAAGGCTCAATTTAATCTTGGTTACATGGTAGGAACAGAGGTGGAAAAAAAAGCTCTTGAATTGTATTAAAAAGTTGTTGATCAAGAGCACAATACAATCTTAATTACAATGGAAATCAAAGCTAGGATTCACAATATTATTAAAATAAGAAGTTTTTTTTAGAATACATCTGGTTCACATAACACATATGCTTTAAATTTTACTGATTTAAATACTACAATATTGTTTGACAGTAGACTATAAATGTATAAGGTAAAGGAAGCATGGCAGCTTGACCATAATTAGTTTTTTACAAATTTTGAGACCAGTTAAAAATGAATATCACTTGCAATCTTCGATTGTGCGGATGGAAACTTTTACCAATTATTTAACTAGATCTCTGACTTTTTCCGGCTTTATTATTCAATTATGGTTGTCGAATTTAGGTAAACGTGAAATTACAGTGCTAAGATTTTAATTGGATAACAACTATTGCGGGCAAAATATGACCATCGTTTGTTTTTTAGTTGTTGATACTCAATTAATAAGAAAACGTTGGAATTAAATAGTCTGTTGTTCGTGTTTATCTTAAAAGTGTTGAAAAACTTTAGAGTGAGTATTACTCATTGCGAGTGTTGCAAACGTTACACAAGTAATTCTTCTCAATCGTGTCGTAAATACATTGACGTGACGTTGCATAAATAGTTATCAACGACGAAAGGTATCTTATTCTCAACAGAAGTATGATTACAGATAATTGTTAAAGTAAAAAATTAAAGTCTGAGAATAAATATTACATGCATGTTAATGTAATTTTTCCAAACGTATTGTAAACTTTTTTACTAATATAGAAATTCTGTTAACGCGGTAAACTATGCATTTATAGCAATTTTTAAAATAGCACGATCATCATTCAAAAAAAAAAATGAAAACGAAAATGAAACGAAAACAATCTCAGCCAATAGAATCAGTTATAATCGCCTCATAATAGGTCATAATCGCTGGTGTAACAACAACCCAACAAGCTTTCTTTTCTTGCCTTGCGCTAAGTAAAGAGGTAAAGTTGTATTAAGTAGGCATCTTCTACTTTTCAAAAAGGTTTAGCAATCACTGGCTCGCAGAAGTTTTCACGAAGTTTTCACCTGTTTTTACATTATAATCGCTGTTTTCGCAAAAAAGTTGTGACCAAATGATGTGTGACTGCAGAATTTTGAAAAAACGATAAATAGTAACTACGCCTTTGATATTATTGAATTACGATTCTCCAGAATAACTACTCTTCAAGTGTGCCTAACTTGGTTATGATTTGCGGAATAGATAACTGTGCAATTTGTACAGTAATTAAATTATAAATTATTCTTTTTATAACCAAGATTTGTTGACAAAAAGAAAATTAGTTAGTAAGACGTTAAATTAAATACAGCTCTCTACGACATAGTAGTTATATTATAGCACAATAATGTTAGATTCTAATTTATTTTGTTTACAACGTTATATCTAACTCTCTTTTTATTACTAAATCATACGTGTGTGTGTAAACAATTACAGCTTAATTCAACAATTAACCTGGTGGTTTGTTGTTCCTTATTTCCCGGATTCTGTATTATTAATTTTTTGCCGCGCACTATCTATATAACGTTAAACTTGTAATAAACCATACGAGTACAAAGAAAAAACCAATACTACTATTCCATTCGCTCATTTTACTTGCAGCAGATGGGACTGTAACTACAACCGTCGTCCCACCAGTTGAGGTTGTGCCTGATGGAGCTGTCGATGTCGGTGTAGATGGAACTGAAACATCAATTTTGATACTAACATAAACGGGAGTTGTTCCGGGATTGCTCACAACAAGACACCAAGTGTCTAATGGAGGTGTGGTGGCAGGTTTAGTTTGATCGCAGACCTGTACACAGTCAACACTTATCATTATAAAAATAACGTACAATTGAATAATATAATTAGCAAATTCGTGTGCGTTATAGAGAATAACAATTAATTTAAAATGTTTTCCAGAAATAAAATTTCGAACTGCCAATAGCGCTTTCCCTACTAACCATGACATATATTGTAGAGTAGTTGGATAACTGCTTACATTCGGATCAAGGAAAGTGCGAAGATCCGACGAAGATAAAACCTCCGAAATTACTCCACCTAAGCAAGGAGGGTTGTCAGGTTTGGCAGAGATGCTTGAATTAGCACCGAAGTTTGCTGTCAGAGGAAGTGCTTGGTTTGATGTCGTAACGAGAAAAGCTATATTGGGTAGCGAAGAAAATTTTGTTGAATAATGAATCGAACGGTTTCAAAAATACAGTACTTAAAAAATTACTTTGACTATACTTACCAAAGTGATTAATTGGTTGTGGAGCACACATCCACCTTTTTAAAATTGGTACGATAAATGTAATTGCATTAGATGTGTGATGACTTGAAAATGTATATTCTGGATGCTCACACCCTCCTACAAAAATGCAGCGAACGTACGCTTTTTGTCATGTCTCATTCTTATCTTACCATGAATGTATAGTATCTATGAAAACGTTGCCCGATAAAGTTTGGGCATTTACTGTAACTATCTAAATGTATAATGATATTAAATAGCTGAGCGAAGACAGAAATCCAACCCTTTTATCGTCCTTAGTCTACTTACTAAAGGAAACAAAACGAATAAAAAACTTTTAACTAGATTCTGCATATTGCCCAGGTCGCAGTATGAGTTTTATTTGAGCGTGCAAAAATTAATTTATTAATCAGCGCTGAAAACAAATGCCTTGGACTTGCTCTGCTCTATTTATGCGTTTGTATGTTCTGTAAGTACGATTGGCTTTGTACAGCTAATTAAAGTTTAGCGCAACTAGCCCATTTTTCAGGAAATACAATTCACCGTTTTATAGGAGTAAAAAGGTGGATTAATATTTGAACCATGTGTAGAGTGACAAAATATTCTGTTATCTTTCTGAGAACAATACATGCATTGATTAAGTATTACGACAAATAATTCTGGCTACTTGTCCGATCGTTGCATATAATAATAATGCATCATTCCGAACTAAGCCTATGTAGGAAGGATTGCATTTTATTAGTTGCACTTACGCATGAATGCTAAAGGTGCACATCTTCTAAAGGAGTAATACCAATATGAAGTGTGTCCTTGCACAGTCCACATTGAACCTGGAAATGGCAATACAAATCTGGCAACAAGCATGGTAATGGACCACCCGAGTTACTTTGTCTTAAGTTTGTGCACTCATTCTTGAAATATACTACTTTAGAGAAAAATAAGAGTTTTGCCTTCGGCAGAAAAATTAATTTTCGTTGCTAGATAATGCTTAAGAAGAGCGCTAATATATATTATACAGTACAGGGGAATTGCTTTAACCGAAAGTGTTGTCTTCTCTTTTACGGGTTGACTTTTGGATATTAACACATTGATAGTTTAGTTCTTTAAGTATAAATCCAGCATATTGACGGGGATGGTTAACCCAAGTCTATATGCAAATAGTAATCTCCCTGAGATCTACCTTAAACAGAGTGACGACGATTATATTTGTACTGTACCGCTAGTGTTTACAACAGAAAGCTTGTGAGAAAGCATTTTAATCGGTTCAGCTGACATTAAAATTTTTGAATCTTGAGGTCCTCCTTCGCCCCTAGTCTCTCAAGTTTCCGATTAAAGAGAGAGGCGCCAATTTACGTTGTGAATAACAGCAGTCCAAGTATGCAAGTTCGATCAGCAATAACACATAGAGATAACTTGTAATAAGTTATCCTAATTATTTTCATAAGTATCTTTACCTCAGGTATCCTGTTCCTCGATTATTGTTTCTCCTATCCCGTTAAAGTCCTTTTGACTATAAATCAAGCGATAAAGAACCTCTCTCTCTCCGACATTTTATCTTATAATAAGCCTACACCTGTTTCTCCCTCCGTAACTCTTATTGGAGCGTTAGAAACACTTACAATACAAAACAACTTGTCCAGTAGATAACTCTTTCTTGCTTGATTGAACTGTTTTGTTAGAATATAAGAGGTTTGATAACTAGTGACGAGCTATATGTTGTAGTTAACACAGTGACTTCAACGTCAAAATTCTTTATCACGAGAACGAAAAGTTCTATTGTCTTAAGTTTAATTGGTTTATTGTATATTATCTCAAGCTTTATCATAGAAGTCTATTTCATTAACCAGTTAAAGAGATATTCTTATGCTTGCTCTGGAGATGTAAAAAATACAAGGTGATCAGTCGTCTTGGAAACTAGTATGTTTTACGGTACGACATCACCAAGACGCTGGATTTTCATTCATAACAATGCCGTTTAACGATAACAAGTTGTCGACAATAATAGTCGTAGACATTTACATTATGTAGATAAACTTGTGAGAGGTTTGTAACGAAACCTATCCCTTAAACTGTTTTGCAGTATTTGGTTATTCTAGTGTTGATTAATATCTTCCTTACATTTCGTCACTGCTTCTACATCACTACAATTGTCATTTCTTTATTTGATAAAACAAAATTTGAATTTATTTGAAGGAATGAATGGAGATAGAATGGAATTTTCTTCTGATGTTGAGTCGGTCCGCCTGGCAATGGCAAAACTTTATTGGCTAAGACCTTAGCAGGAGAATGTCAGTTACCTTTCTCTTTCGTTCTGGTTCTGAATTTGAAGAAATGATGGTTAGAGTGGGTGCCCGACGAGTGCGGGAACTTTTCGGAATATTCCACATACGGAGCAAAATCCATATCGAGAGGAGAGTAACAATGGTAAAAGCGTTCATCAGCAACCATTGTCATACTCGGTAAAACCTTTATGAGTCTGTTGCGATCTACTATCCTCCTTATTTTCTTTTTTCTCTGTTTCGTTTATCTTTTCTTCTTTTTCTTTTTTCTTAGCTAATGTCGATAGATCGTATGGTTTTTTACGAAGATTTTTAATAAAGTCTGGACCAGGTCGATGATGTACCTTATAGTTTCAAAAATAAGCACCCACTTTGGTGTGCTTATTTTTGAGGTCACAACTTCGTGTAATACAAATTATAGGTCTGCAGAATTGTGGGGGTAGATATCTTATTTTTGGAGGTGCTTATTTTCGGGACTATATACGGTAATTATTATTATCACTATGCTGTTGTCCAAACACCCGTTTCAGTCGTTTCGATATGATAGGATCAAATTTTGATTTATGTGAATATTCTTGATGACGATCACTAGGCGCAAACGAAAACCTACTAGGTTTCAACTCAAAAATATAAAGACCGCAATTTTATGGCGTAGAGGTTTCAATATCTAACGAAAAGTTTATTTGCGACAAGTCTTGAGTATTATCGGATAATATTAAACGTGAGAATAGGCGGCTCATGTATGCAAATTCGAGGTGACCGTTTGTTTCGGGGGCATTAGCATCCAATTCATAGCCGAAGCTCCATGTATACCAAAATACCATAATCCATAATTCCAGAGTCTGCACAAACCGCTGTTTGTTGATTTTGCATGTCCCGTATCTGATAGTATAACCTTCGTCATAAAAGCATATATTAAAATCATTTTGGGTAGTGTCCTCTAAGAGATTTATTTGTGAAGTTGAGTAATGGTGGACATTTTGTTTGCCATATAACGCGCGCAATATGTATTAATTTTACAGTATAAGTTCCTGTATAATATACACAGTGAAATTCACTTTAACGAATGAAGTCGTCCGTTCCGCAAAATTTCTTCGGTAATCCGAAAGATTCGTTATTCCGATAATTCACGTGATTTTAGTCAATACGAATATCCAATAACAATTGTTGATTTTATTATGGCGATAACACACAAATTTTTATTCGAGATATGAATGCTTGTTGTCTTCTTTTTTGCATAATATTCCAAGAACACTTTTACGTAACTTGCTTAATGTTGTAATTCTATATTTAATTCCTCTTATCGTAAATATAACAAAGGACTGTCAATACTATCAATAGCTTCTGCTGATGATACCTTTCTCACTCCCCTCCTCCTCCTCCTCTTCTTCTTCTTCTGAATGTCCTTGAATAGTTGCTACAATTTCTCTCATAATGCGTGAGTCTTGTTCTTTATTATAATTAGTGACATTATAAATGCCTTCCTCCAAATCACGAACTGTATTCATGGGTTCTTCCGACGCGACGGTAGTTGTGCTACTAAATTAATTACTTCAGATTCGAGATTTTCTTCAACTTCATTGGTCATCGGCTACACCATCAGTGGCAAAATTCTACTCTTCTGCCATGGCGATTGTATTACTCGTTGTTTTATCCGATCCCAAGCCCCAGTCGCAAAGTTAATGGCATCAAGAATTGTCAACGGAGGTAAGTGTTGAGACGATATAGACGTTTCTGTGGTAAATTCCATACGAGTACGTAATCATATTCTTCAATTCGATTCTCACATAGTAGTGACCTGTAACATGCCTATTACGAAGAGATTAAGAAGATGCGTTAAATAAAACAAACGAGCTAAAAAGGATTAAAAATGAGAAATCACATACTTTTAAGCTGTATATAATGCATTGATCGAGTGGTTGTAAAGCTGAGGTTGTATTTGGAGGTAAGAAGTTTATTATTATTAGAATATTAATTACTTCTTAGGTTTATGCGATGTAGCGATTAGCACGTCTCATTATTGAATCTAAACGGTTGAGGTAATGTCCAAAAATCGATCGCATCATCCAAGCCTTGGCATTCCAACAATACCAAACTAAAAGGCTTACTTTAGAATTCCTTTCAGACATCGAGGCGTTTGACTTCGGTGAATAAATAAGAACGGTAGCTCGTGGTCTCCGGTTGCATTACATGTAACCATAATCGAAACACGATCTTTAAGTCGTTTCGTTCCAGAGATTGGTGCATGAGCTAGAGTATGATTTGGTTCGGCTTTCCAAAAAAAAACTGTTTTATTACAGTTGTATATATCACTTAGTTCATGCTTGAAAGAATTTGTTGAAGTTCAATGCGCTATTCTGGAAGCTGTGATTTGTCTACACTATCTAATTCGATAAACTCGTAAATCTTTTCGTTGTCGAAATTTAAAGAGCCATCCATCTGAGGCTAAAAAATTCTTAATTCCTATTAACTCAGCTAACCTCTTCGCTTTGTTTTGTAAAATATTACCATTAAAGGTGATACCATCTGCTCCGCCCATAAAAATTCTTGAGGAAAACAACTCTTGCGTTCTCGTTTTGAATTCTTCTGAGGCGAGTCGTCCTCAAATGCTAACCATCTGTCTTTTGCTTTCAAAATTTCACTAACAGTAGATTTTCCAATGCCATACTCGTTCGCTATCTCAATATTTTTCAAACTTGGATTACTGTCTTTCTTTGATACAGTTCCTTTTTGGGGCAAGCGTAAGTGCTGTTCA